ATCATATCTAATGTAAATTAGTCATACAGCAGAAATCATTAAAAAAAAAATACCGAAAAAGAACTACCTCATCTAAATCTTTTTTTGTTGATTCAATTTAGTAGTCTCTCATCTTATACTCGAAACCGAAATCAACATTTTTAACCGTGACTTCCGATCTTCCACTTATTCCACGCTATAGAGACGGAATTTTCATCTGCTCCACCTGAAATAGCTTCTCCATGAGCTTCTGTTCTTGGAGCTTTTCAAGTTTCTGTTATAACCCAGCCAAAAAGGGAAACATAAACTCAAACTTCCATAGTCAGTTCACAGATAAAAGAGCGGGAAAGAATAGTGATATAACCCATGTGTTTAAGAAATTGTGGATATTTCAATCGATAATCAGCAAAGTAAAAGAGTAGGGAAGAATAATGAAGTAAGTTTGTGCAGATTGCTTACCTTTCACGCAGTATTATCAGGGCCAAAATTTGCACCAGCACGAAGCCTAGCGATTAAGGTACCTCATAACTCTTTCAAAAAGCAAGCTTTGGAGAAGCATGTTTCAGTTAGCTGATTTAAACTTCCACTGATTTACATTCATCTGCATCTTGAGCGTTGCAACTTTCCTTCTGCACAATAAAAGCAAGAGAAAATAATATTTACTATCTAGTACATGAGTCTGATATTCAATAAGAAAAGCAAAGAAAAAGTTAGACACTTTCACCTATTAAAGTGAAGATATGAAACCAAGCTTTGAAGTCATCTAATTCATCCCAAGTTTATTCTGAAGATTTTCTGTAGTAAGAAACATGAGAAACGCATATTTCATCAGCCATATTCGATCTTATCAGTAAGATTAAGGAAACAACATTCAGTCCAATCTAACCTAATTTCGATTTGAAGAGAGAAAGGTGTTTTTCCTTCAATCCAATCAACTGGCTGTGATCATCATTGTCAAGCAACCTCATCATCTCCAACGTTTCAGTTTTGATTTCCTTCTGAATAATCAAGAAGCAAAGAGTTGATTAAACCAGAGCATAGCCGAGAGTGAAGCTTTCGAAATTAGAGTCCGGAAAAGAGAAGCTTATAATCTAGTGCTTGTTCATCCTATGAAATATGAAATTAAAACAATACTATAATCAACAAAAGTTACACCTAAACCCAATAACATAGAGAAAGCATAAGCATTAATTTTCTCAACAAAAAAAGAGTACGAAAAGAAGAACTCACTTAAAACTTGTGCTTCTCTCTTGTTATACCTGTGATCTGAGCACCATCCATGTTTCCCTTCTCAATCGCCTTCTTCCCCTGAGTTCCATGCCTTATCTTCCTTCTCGCACTTCAATGTCTTTCTGTGGAGAGGAATAGTGTAATGTTTCTTTGAGAAATCGTTTTATATAGAGGGGATACGAAAGTGGAAGGGTGATGTGAGATATAAAAATTTTTTTGATGAATGAAACAATGATTTAAGTTAGTGAGAGAATTAGATGGAAGAAAGAAGTGGAAAAGACAGAAAACGTTCAACAGTGACGAAGATACACAAAGGAAGCGTTAGGTTAGATGGAATCTATCAGTTGGGCTTAGTTTTGTTAATTTTTCAAAACCTAGCCCAATAAAACTCACTAACGAAAATCATTCTAAAGTACATAGAAACAAGATTGCTTATGTGTCAAAAATGCCCCCCTCTACTTGCTGAGCGGGACATCTTAAGAAGGGAGATAACTCAATTTTATTATATAAGATATCACCAAAATAGTATAAGATTTCATTCTCATCATAATTTATAAATACTAAACCCTAAACCATGTTCTCTAAACCCAACCCCAAATATACACCATCGGCTAAATACTATAACATACAAAGAAGAATATTAACATGTTGTAGAAGCTATACTATATGAAATCAAATAGAATAGAATTGAGTTTTAAAAATATGATTTACGCAAACAGTTCCTATTAAACCCAACCTCTAAACATAATTACTAAACTCTAACCCATGTTCTCTAAACCCAAACCCTCTAATCACTAAATCCACAATCTATATAGTTATAAATAAAATTAAAAGCTAAATATTACATAATATATTGTAAAATTAAACTATACTACATAAAAATGAATAGTAGAATAGACTTGTGAACCAAATTCATTTGGGTGGATGCGGTTCACGAAATTATATATTGAATTTTTAAATTACTCTTGTACCGGTGTAAATAATGTATAAACCAATATTCATATCAATGATATAATACATGTTTATTCACTATAAAGTCACACTTTTATTCTACATTGGTTAAATATTATTTTATACCATATAGCCAAAATAGAATATGATTCCAGTTCCATTCTCAATCCTAAATATTAAAACTCTATTTAAACCCCAACTCCTAATTATTAAATTCTAAACCCTAGCCACTAAATCATAAACCCAAATATAAGTTATAATTTATATTTAAAATAAAATCAAAATCTGAAATAAATAATATTTTGTTTTACATGTACAATATATAATATATAGTATGGACCCTTTATAAAATAGTATAGACCTTCTATACATAGTAAAGTCGGTGACTTCATCTTCTTCACCTTCTCCTCTTTTCGTAGATATGGTGATACACACTTACTGATCCACCATCTTTATTTTTCACCACCCTATAAAATTGATAAGCCATATGAATTAATCATCAATGATGATAATCAATCATAGAATCTTATTGGTAATAATGGCGATAATCTAGCAAAAAAAACATCAGTGATGTAGGAGAACATACCATCGGTGATGGAGATTAGAAGAAAAAAAGCTATGTTTCACTTTTCAATTAGTTCAACTTCAGGTGCAAAAGAATATCTCAACAATATCATTTAAGAGGATTTTGAGATTCTTAAAAAAAAAGAGAAATTGGGTTAAAGAAGTTGAACCGGTAGATATAAAAGGTGTTTTGGTATATAAGATATAAAATACGTTGAATATCACAGTCAACTTTTTTTTAGCTATGCAGTGATTTTTTTTTTTTTTGTGATATAGAGTGCGATTTCCCTACTTTTAATGAGTCTAGCATACTCTTTCTTTTATTGATATTTTTTAAAAAATATGGTTAAAGTCCGTATGGTTAATATGTGATATTAAAAAAGTCATATAGTAGTAAACTTATAAATTTCATGAAATTGAGTATTTTATTAGATGGTTAGAATTAGTTAGAATTAGAATAGAAATGATTATAGGACACTGAATATAATAAGAATATTTTTTTTGATGGGTCGAATATTGTTTTTAATAATTTGTAATATGTGAAACTTTGAATTCAAAAAGTAAAACTTGAAATTCAAAATTTGTTTTTACTAAATTCCCGCCCAGTTCAAAACACACGTGGAATCATGTCATTAATGTTAAGTGCTTTATCATTTCTACAATCCTTCTGATAACTTAAGTGTCTCCATTTTCCCTCATCTCTCTCTCTCTCTCTCTCTCTCTCTCTCTCTCTCTCTCTCTCTCTCTCTCTCTCTCTCTCTCTC